CCCCAAAACCCCAAAACCCCAAAACCCCAAAAAGCCGTATATAGAATATTTAGTGTTGTTTAAACAAAATAAATTGAGATTTAATTTAGAAATACGTTAAATTCATAAAATTAAAATGAATATAGGGGATCTCAACAAGAAAAATTATAAGAGCTAGACTCTCAAGAGTTCACTATCTCAGAAGAATGTTCTCTTTGACTCCTAAAAATTAAAAGAGACGCAGAAAAAAGAAATACTCAGATGCCAGAATAATCAAATAAGGGAAAGGAGTACAACTGGTAGTTAGCATGGGAGCACTGATAGTGAATACTAAAAAATGGAAACTATTCGGAGTGTCGAGACTGATAATGAAAACCCTCAGATTCTCAAAAAGAAGTAACCTTCTCACTAAGTTATAGATTATGAACAACAAAGGATTTTAACAAGATAATAGTCAATCAAGGAAAGCTTAAAAGGTGACTAATAAGGATCAATTGCATAATTTTATATTCGTGACATAATACTTTCCAAGGTCTTCTATTCAAAGAGAATGTGGAGAAGAGAGAAAATTGTAAGTTCATTTTCTTCCTTAATATTCATTAGAGTTCAACCGATAGAATTACTTCTGACTTATCTTTCCCGATAATTGAATTTAGTCCTTAGTTATTAAACAGGTTAGTCTAAAAATATTCAAAGTCCTTGCTAGACTAAGTATGCTTAAGCATCGAAAGTGAGGAAATAAATCCTTATTCATCTGACAAGATTATTTTCAAGAACTTAACTGAGGATAGTGTATTATAGCATGGTAAAGTAAGCTTAAAAGGATAATCTAGTTCACCAAACTAGTAAAAGAAAACTATAAAAGTCTAGTTATGCTCATCTTTATAATTCAAGAATCAATAATAAGAATTCTTAAAATTAGCCTATGATCATAATAATGAGATTTAATCATTAAAGAACTTTGAGTTCGAAGATTAATAAGACAAGGAGAATTTATGTTCTAATAGGGACAATCAAAAATTGAAAATAAAGGAATCGATCCCGTAACCGATCGACTTTCTAGCTTTCTAATCAAACATCTGCATATGCAGGTCTAAGGGGAAAATAGAATTCAATCTGAATATTCTAGCCCCCAATATATCCTTTGATTTTTATCAAATTAGTCAGATTAAGATTGCTTCAAACTAGTTTTTGCCTAGAGAAATGAGGGAATCTTCTGACATAAAAGCTGGATTTTTGTAAATTGATTCAGAAACAAAGGTTACACCAATAAATTTCAATGATTCAGATATTTTGAAAAATGAAATGGTGGGTATTTGGCTTAGTAATCTACCTGTTGATGACAAATAGACACCTCTATAAAGAATAAAAGACCCATTAGTCTGGTCTGCATGCTTAAAATTTGTTATGCTCTCAGAAAAGTTCAATTAAGTAAATAGTCCCTCTTCTGATAAAAATACTTTTCTGGTCATTTTATTTGAGTAGAATTTTAGCAAATCGTTATGCTTTGAATTCAAAATTCTTAGGAATGAGCCTGATAAATCTTACTTAAACAATTGGATGGTGATGACTTTTTATAAGAAATTTATGAGATAATCATCTGAGCCATATTATGACAATTTTTAATTAAGACCTCAAATATTTAAAAAATAGACTTAATTTGAAGCTGACAAATTCAAAATTTACACTTTCAACAAGTTTCTTTAAAAATCAAATGAAATTTAATAGTAGCAGTAATAAGATGAATAGCAAAACTAGATGCCTTAAAAAGAGAATAAAATAATGGTAAGCCACTAAAAGACCTAGAGTGAGCAGAGATCTAAAGTTCCACAAAAAAATCCTACACATTAAAGATAATTGGCTTAATCAGCTAAAAGGCTTGATAGAAACAATAGAAGAGTAGATAGCCTAATGAACTAAAGCGAGCAAGACTCACTGCAATAAAATTCCACAAGTGCAGCAAATTCTTAAATTTCAAATAGAAAATCATTAGAAAAAAGCAGAAATCCTGGAGCAATTTCCAGAATAGCAAGAAGTAATTCTCAAAAGGCTGTTAGCAGAGTCAAAGAAGTGGAATCTGATTTTGGGATTAAATAGGAACCTAAAACCCTTAAGAGGTCTGGAAGTGAGGTAAAAATGAGCACAGAACAAGACTAGCACTCCAATCAAATAAACAAACTTAAAGGAAAAATTAAAATCAAAAGCTAGTCCTAGAATTCTCTTTAGGAAATTTCTTAAAGCGAGAATTCTACTAATAAGAACTCCTCTTTAAACGATAATAATTAATAGTCAGCAACAAACTTCATCTAAATGATTGGAGGTGCTTCTTAAAGGTAGAATTTGAACATTGGTAGATATGTACCAACCTTGAAAATGATGAATATTCAAAGTAATCAATAACATCAGAACTAGCAATCTTAGAATTTGTAAACTCCGCAAACAAATATCTAAATCAAATAATCTCAAATTTCTTCTATTACTACTACTTCTCAAGTTTCTCCTTTTATTAAGAAGGGAAACATCATGAGATCATCGAATGATAGATAAATAAATAGTGTCTCAAGTTCAAATTAAGTTTTTAGTCCTTGTATGACTCTAGCTACTCCTTAAAATAGAGATTTTGACTTGAGGAGTTCTGCTAAAAGTTCAGTATTAAGAGTTAAAGATCACAATAAGGCTGATAATTAAGAAAATCCCTACTAAACAGAAGAGCCATCAAGAAATCCACTAACTTTTGTTAGGGGTTCCTTTACAGAATTTTAAACGCCTATCGTAGATTCTAAATTCAATAATCTCTAAAGCAAGGATGTTAAGTTCTAATCTGAAATTTTCTAATCTCAAGTAAATACTTAAATGAATGATGAATTCAATATTCAAAAGAAATTGAAATTTGAGGAGTACAAGAATGCTGAAATAAACTAACAGAACGATAATCTGATATTTTAAAATGAAGATATAGTTGATTACAGCGATGTAATCGAGAAGACAAGATCATCTCCAACTACTAAAAATATTATGAGATCTCAAGCTAGAAGTATTAAGGTTCTGTAGTAATAGGTCAATTAGCTTACTAAGATTGTCCAAGAACTAACTACCAAAAGTGGAAATGGAAACTCCTCAAAGAATAGTAGCAGTAATTCAAATAGTGGTTACAGTAACTTATTCTCAACAGGAGTTACCTAAAAATCTAAATCTATAGAAAAAGATGAAGGAGGCTTAAGTAAGGCAAACACTCTCGATAATAGAGTCCCTCCTAAATCTGATATCAATCAACCATCAAACTAGATATAGTAAAATCAAATTTAATAATAACAACAAAACTAGTAATAATCTCCAGAAAAATAATAAATAAATGAGGATAAAATTATATAAGCGTTTGTAGACTTTTTAAGATAAAGTCAGCAAACGAATAATGAAGTAAACTAATTGTTTTCAATATATGGAGGAAGTCAGGGTAATAATACTGAAAATAGAAACAGTGTTGTAGGAGATCCAAGAAATCCTCAGCTTTCACAATCGCAATAATTCAATTTCGCATCAGCAGCAAAAGGAGGCTCAATTAATATAGCCCCTCCAAAGATTTTAAGACCTATGTCAGGTAACATCTAGATAAGAAGTACCTTGTAAAATAGTAGAAATATCCTCAAAAATTCTATATCTAGTGGAAATAATTAATAATGAGAGTAAAATCCAACTTAATTCAATGTTGAAAAATCCCCAATTCCAAATTCTCTAGTGAGATAGAATTCAAAAGAGGATAAATAGCAGGCAACTCAATTAAATACTAACAAAAATTCATTTTCAGGATTACTAATGGGCGATCATGAACACTCACAGCATAATATAATCCTTGATAATTGCTAAGAGTCCCCAATAAACCATAAAAATGCAACCACATTTATTGATAATCTAAATAATTCTCAAAATTTCAGAGAAACTAGCAGTGGTAGTATAAAAGAAGAGGAAAGTCATTGCCTAAAGAAGCTGACTAGAGTGCTCTCATAAAGAATTGAGACTTATGAAAAATCTAAAGGAAGGAAAGCAATACCACCACCTTTAAACTATGTTTTAAAATCTAATCAAGTATTTGATATGCAAACTAAACAATAGGATTAAGTCTAAGCGAGTTTAAAATCTTCTGTTGGTCCTTATCCCTTTAATAACGCTGGATTAGTATTTGAATTTGAAGAAAGCATTGATGAAGAAAGCAGCATAGGTTCAAGAATCAATAATCCAGCTTAACCTGTAAATAAGTTTAAGAGGAAAAGTAATGAAGGAGACCAAGCTGATGATGAAAATGAAACCTATAAAAGTAGTGAGATTTCTCTCGCTTAAAATAAGAATAAAATTCCTCGAAACCTTTGAAAAATTAAGATACTCAACATAAATACTCCCATATATTGTCCTATTTCTATTTATATATTTCTTGTTTAAGCTACAAAAATTCTAATTTTAGCATAGTGGGGTTTTGGGGTTTTGGGGTTTTGGGG